ACAGTGAAATACACGCGCTACCACATGCAATTTTGCAATTTTTAAAATAATTTTTTAAATCTATTATTTTCTTCCTTTACGTTTTTTTTTAATTCCAAAATATAATGGAAAAAAAATAAAAAGGACAATTGTTATTGTTATTGTTTTTGTATGAACTTGAAAAAGAATTGGAGGTGCTGAGCAGATTCGAAGATTGTTGAAGTTTTCAAGTTGAGATTTAAGTGTTAAACTCATTCTAAATCACTAGTTGCTACTGAGATTCGAAAATAGAGAAAGAATTTTGAATCCACTATTATTAAACCTTGAAAATCTTGAAGAATAAAGAGACGAGTTTGTTGAAATTCTTGATTGTTGGCCAAATTGATGATCATTGGGGTTTGGTGATGATGTTGTTGTGATGTTGCAGTCGAAATTTGAGCTTGATTATTACGAATTTGGTTGAGTTTTTGCTGAATTTTGAGACTCAAAATCATATTTGAAGCTCTTGAAAATGGTTGATAAAATATTCATGAAGTTAAGTGTGTTTTGGATAACGGGCTCTTGAAAATCAGATTTGAGACTGACACATGGCAATTTCATATATTCAGAAGCGGATTCAGAATTTGATGGCTATGGATGCCACTATTTTAATGTAAACCGATCATTAGTGAAGACGATTAAATTAGGGTATACATTTAGACGATTCGATTCGTTCGATCTATTTTGAATTTATTCAAATCAATTTAAAAGATTTTTATGCATAAACAAATATGTGATACACCCTTCAATCTATATGTAGTTGATTAATATTATATTATGTCTTTGATGTATTACTGTAAAAAAAATTATAATTAATAAAATAACATTAGATGGATAAAAAGAGAAAATGATTAAATTACAGTCAAATAAAATTCGAAAAATCCAGGAAAAGACAAAGAACGGTATAGTTTACAACCTTTTTTTTTTTTCAAGTTCCTATGCTCGAAGGAGGTGTTCTCACGTCTTGGTACACGTCAACACGTTACGGTGCAAATATATTAGGGAAAAAAAAGTTTAGGAAGGTAATAGTTAAAGGAAAGGTGCGTCCCGAAACTTCGTGTATAGCACAGAGGTACTTATGCCTTTTCTCTAATTAGTATTTGCAAAATAACCGAAAGAATTATCATAACTTAACAATTTTTTCCTTTTGTATCGTTTTTAGATTTGACTATTTCTCAACTGCTTTACAAACACGAACTATATTTCAATTAGCATCTCCAAAAGTGGCTACTTGGTATCATTTGTAATCTAAATTTCACTGGGAACTAATTTATACACCATATTGACCACAAACAAATACACTTTAAAATAATTATATTGTATAGCTAATGTTTGTATTTTATAGCAAAATCACAATTCCAGTGTATTCTTCTCAGCCTTCAATTTCTTCAGCTTCTTCTCCTCAACCTTCAATCTCTTCCACCACCACCACTCCTCCGTCAACTCATCCAAGCTCATATCCTCCTCCTCAGTCTTCAATTTTCATTTTTCTTGAATCAATTCAATCTTGAATTCCACCATTGATGAAGTTTTGAAACTTCAAAGTTGAAACTTGGGTTTGAGAAATTAAAATAATTTCAGATTAGGTGTGGTTCGAAAAGTTTAAGAACATTTTGGGGAGTTTATATCTCAAATTTAGGATGATTTGGTGCAGATTTAATGTGATTTTGGATAAAATTTCAGAATGAAATTCGAGTGCATGCAAAGTGTATGTGAACAAATAGAGCTGATACAATTTTCCATTGTATTCATTGTTTTGATGTGGTTTTGGATAAAATTTCAGAATGAAATTGAGTGTATGTGAATGAATACAGTTGATATAATTTTCATTAAACCTGCATTTAGTGATACAACCACTATGCGTGAATGAATAAAGTTGATACAACTTTTCCATCAAAATTGTATTCATCGATACAACCTGAAAGAATACAATTGATATAACTTTTTCATCAATAATGTATTCATTGATACAACTTCGTAACAGATTTATACAACAAAATCTGAGCTCGACCGTATGTGTTTGATATAGCGAGATTGATACAAGCGCCTAGCAGCATAATTGTTGCTATGAATGGTAATTATCAATATACTAGCCACACCTAGTAAAATAGCTACTAAACTGTGGTTTCTAATACGGCCCAACGAAGAATCAAAAGTCAGCCCAATCTGATACTAGTTCTGAGCAACGAGTAAATTTCATTTTACCCTGGAACTTTGGGCGAGGGATAACATATCTTCTCAACCTTATAGAGATAATTCTCGCCTAATAAAACATATTTTCGCAAAGAAAGAAAAAATATTCAAGTGGCTAGCTAGCTAAATTAGAAAGACCAAAAAGTTTGTCAAATGAAGAGGTAAAAAACTTTAAAGTAGCAAGTACAAACGCTTAATGCTGCGTAGAACAGGGATGTATAATCCTTCGATTAAATAGTGCGTCGAATAATTGCAACTAGTTCCAATACTCTCTTAGACAAAAATCATAAGTTCAATATGTCAATAAGAATTGATAGATTGAAGCCGATACGTATAAACACATTTGAACTTACAGTTCTTCTCAGTTCTCACAAATTCTCTTTATGTAATGCAATTTAAATGGTGCAAACATATTTCCTTCAACACAAGAAATTTGTCAAATTTTCCTTTAAACTTAATTCGTTTATCATATAGAATTTCTTAGTCATTGTTCAATTTATAAACGTAATATGCAGTTTCTGATGGGATAGAGTAATTAACCACGCCAATTTACGTCTGTAAAAGATTAAAGGAGCTGACATTATCAACTCACCTCAAAGTTGAGGAGACAGCCAAATTTAATCAGGAGAAATCAAAAGATCTCGTGCTATTCATGTGCAGCCAATTGTTTTAAGCAAGATCGATTAGGACAACTATTGAGACCCTACTGTAGAAACCTAAGATAAAATTGAATCGAGAAAGTTATGCCAAATTTAATCAGGAGAAATCAAAAGATCTCGTGCTATTCATGTGCAGCCAATTGTTTTAAGCAAGATCGATTAGGACAACTATTGAGACCCTACTGTAGAAACCTAAGATAAAATTGAATCGAGAAAGTTATGCCAAATTTAATCAGGAGAAATCAAAAGATCTCGTGCTATTCATGTGCAGCCAATTGTTTTAAGCAAGATCGATTAGGACAACTATTGAGACCCTACTGTAGAAACCTAAGATAAAATTGAATCGAGAAAGTTATGTTGAGAAACTTTGAGAAAACAGAGACCCTGAAATTTAAGAATTCACCTAACAATGTTCTAATAGGATCACCCATTTGGTAGGATATCACCAAATATCATGCATAAAAAGAAACCACCCACAAGTATATAGGGAATAATATCATAACAAGAAAACAACATACACTAGTCATCCCCATGTTAAATTAGGAGAAAATGTGAAATGAAATGACAACTTCAACATTTTCTTTGCACTGGCACAATTAATTACACGTTATAGCAAACAAGACATGCGGTAAAATGGTAAACTAACAAAGATGAGGGGCAGTGGCGGAGCCAGGATAACCGCCAAGGGGATTCTAAAAAAAAGTTAGAAAGGTTGTAGCAATGACCTTCCAAAGGTTTTGAACTCATCGACCACTAAACTATGTTTTTGGGCTATGTCAAGGGGATTCAAAACATAATATATAAAGGTAACAAACAGATTTTGCCTTACATATACAATGTAATTTTTGGGCGAACAGGGGTCGGGTGAACACCCTTCCACCACATAAATCCGCCCCTAAAGAGGGGGAGCCTAAAGAGGGGGAATGCAACCGGAGATATTTAAACACCTTAAACTTCTTTTTGATAAACTCAAGCCGGAGAACCGCAAATAAGAAATCAGAGGAAAAGGGCAAGTTAATATTTGCTACAATTGATATTTAGGGAGAAAGGGAAGAAAAACCAGCCACATACGTCAAGAACAAAAAAAAAACAAGTTTCAACTTAATCCAAATGTGAACAGAGTGGAGGGAGCTTCCTCTATGTCAAAGCTGCCTTTGAAGGTTTTAGCATCAATCGATTTCATATTGTAATCAACCCGAAGGCATACCGCCACTTCCTTCTCTTCAACATGGTCAGCCTCAGAAATATTACAGCAAAGGCTTGGACGTAATCTCTACTCTTTGCAAATAGTAAAATTCTAATCTTAAGCCTAGTTCATATTTCGATCATTCAACTTCCTCTTTTTAACACAATGCAAACACCCTTCTTATCACACAAAGAACCACAAAAATGAATACATCCCTCTCAACCCAACATTACTCCCTCCTTTTTTGCCTTTTCACGGATAATTTGTCACTCCCTAGAAGTTGTTACTTCCCAAGAGTTGAACGGATTTACATAGGAAATCACCAAACTACAACACTGACACCCATAAGTTGTTACAAACATGCTGCAAAAATCCATATTCAATTATAGTTTCATGTACGAGATCATATCAGCTATCTCCCAAATGCTAAAATGGATGTACACATTTTCCTACAACTCTTGCTACACAAGCACTACTTGAAGCCTCATAATACAGCTCCTTCTGATCAACACCACTAAGACACCATATTAATAAAATATACCAATAATCATATTTAGTAAAATCCACCAAAATAATTACAAAAAAACTACTCCTAATACTAATATCAATTTGACCAAGGAAAACAGAACAGCAAAATCATCATATTCGGAAGGTCAAGACTTAATTCAACTCATCAAAACAAATCTGTACCAAAAAGACAACCAAAAAAAGACCTGTTACAATATCAATTATACTCGAGGCGTAAGTAGCTCAGATCTGTTGAACATGTACACCAGAAAATGTACATACTATAGCACGAGAATATCATTGACCCAATTTTTCACAAAGTTATCATTCAGAAATAGCATGCAATATATCGCCAAACCATGTGAAAACATCAAATGGAATGTCTAAAAAACACAAAACAGATCATGAAACTAAACAGCAGCCAAAAGAATTCAAAAGGGCCAGCAAAATTATATGCTAATTTGTATCAATAGGCGATTAACAGTCTAACATCTCAATAAACTGAAACATCTCAAATGTATTTCAAAGCAGTAAATCCCAAGGTTCAAATACTCCATTGACTAATGAAAACAGTAACTTTAACAAAAAAACCTCAAAAGGCGCAACTAATAAAACCAAACCTAAGCGGTAAGCACAACAGCACCACCAGCTTCCTTAATCTTCTTCTCAGCATTCTTCGAAACCAACTTAGCTTTCACAACAACAGGCTGCCCCGTAGGCAAAACACCTTTACCCAGAACCTTAAAGTACCCAAACTGAGTAACATCGATTAGCGGAGCAGCACCATTATTGGCTTTAGCCTTGTCCTTGACTTCTTGGGGAAGAAGTGACCAAAGCTTGTCGATGTTAACAGTTGGACAATGGAACTTGTTACGGAGTTTGTGGAAATAACGCATACCGACTTTACCGAAGTAACCAGGATGGTACTTGTCGAAAAGGATACGATGATGGTGCATACCTCCGGCGTTCCCTCGTCCACCTGGATGCTTCCTGTGCTTTCCGACACGACCGTGTCCGGCGCTCACGTGGCCACGCTTCTTCCTGTTCTTCTTGAATCTGGTCGTCATTTTCTCAAGGCTGCGAAATGGAGAAGGGGTAGGGGAAAGGGAAGAGCGGCACTGAGAGAATGGCGAGGTTAGGGTTTTGTGAGATTTTATAGATGGAAGATTGTTGGATTGGGCCAGATACAGGTTCAGCCCTTAGGGTTTTGAGAGATTTGTTAGTAGTTTATATGGGCTTGGGCCTTCATCCAGCAAATGGCTCATTGTCTCTCCTTTTTTATCCAGAATTTTATCCTTTTTCTTCTCTAATATTTTTTCTTTAATATAACGACTGGTTACTTTCAGGTCCAAGAAAATAAGATGTGTTAAAATAAAGCGAAATTTTCACAAACCATTATTGTTTAGTAGTTATTAGCTAGTTGTTAGCTATCATTTATTATATTACTTTTTATATTTATGTTTTTAATTTTTTAGAGTGTATTCGATGTATTTAAGCTACTGTATTCATGAATACAGTAGCAAAACGCGGCGTGAATCAGGGGATTCCAACTAAAGGTGTCTAACGGGCTGAGTCAGCGCACTTTCGGACCGGCCCAGATCGTTACAAAAGGGGTCGGGTGGGCTGGGTTAATAGGGTAAGGGGGTTGGTCCGTTTACCTTGGTGCAACCGGTTAACCGGCCCGGTCAACGGGATTTACTGTAGAACCGGTTAACCGGACCGGCCCAGACCGGTATAACGGCTACTTTGAATTTTTTTATTTTTTTTAATGGGCCCGACTTTCTGACCATTGGCAACGGTCTGCTGGCCCTTGGGGCCGTTGCCCAAGGGCAGTTTTGCACAAATAGCCCATTTTTTTTTTTAAAGATTAACACCTTTTGTAATTACCTAATTCGCCCTTTGAAAAAATATAAATACACCCCCCCCCCCCC